AGTTTCTGTAGCAGTGTTAATTTTACAGGATAGGGTTGCTAGCCTCATGCCCAACCTTTCCTCTTCACCAGCATTATTTCTGGCTTAGCGAGGTAAAGAAGTGCATCGGCCGGGGTTCGAACCCCAGACCATGTGCATGGTCGGCGAGCGTCCTAACTGCTATGCCACCGACGCACATTTTGTAGTTTACTAGCCTCTATATAAATATGCCCTTGAGTAGGTGAGTAATCAGAATGTCAGGGAAAAGGTTGTGTCGATGTATAACACATGTTATACTAACTTTACTATTTTTGTAGTTATTTGAAATTCTTTAAAATACTGCTACAGATGATATAAGTTGGACATAGTTGAATACTTAGTTAGGTATGTTATGCATATATGCCCCAACCATTCTTTAATCATTCACGGCCAAAATGTCACAGTCTATAGGAAAATAAGTGTGTCTACAATGTTATCAGCATAAATGACTCGTATTGTAAAATGTGAAAAATTGAATGCCAGCCTTACGCATAATAGACAGTTGGCTAGCTGCCAGACTTGCATATTTGAATTTTGCTAAACTAAGTGAAAACAGTTCTGTCTCCGATACAAAATAGTGGCTGACATTACGAATAATTTAACCCTCTAAAAGGGAATATGTTAATCGAGTTACGAAAACGAATAACAGAAAATAAAGAGATTTTCTTACCAAATGAATAAGTCAGGATCATTTCCAGCTTAGATTTACAGATAACTTAGTTAATACTCTTAGAATAATAGTCAACTCCTCATAGGTGTTTAACTCATATAGTTGGTTAATAACAGAAATAAAATACAGACAAATTTGGCAAAAGGAAACATAACCTTCGTCATAATCAGACCAATGTTCTAACAAACTGACTAGTAATAAAATTTATTATTATTATTACTATTGGTTTAGAGACAAAACTGACAGAAGCTGAACTAATTAAACAGTAAGCTGACAGGAATCTGCCCAAATTTAATCTCTTGATAATTCAGTATTATGAGAGTATGCTAAAATGTTCAGACTGTCTATGCGTAAATTATAGGTGTGGTTTTTCTCACTATGATTCAAGAAAACACCCTTATCTGTATGTGACACAAACTATTGTAGTAGGAGAGCTGTTAATAGTGCACGAATATTCATATATTCTATAAGATTCTGAAACAACAGCAACTATGACTTTTTATATGAGTAAATGTAGATTTAACTACCACTATGCATTAACCAGATGCCACTTAATGACAAAATGAAACCCTGATGTTGGTATCGCGGCTTACACGCAGTTTATCTAACAGCTTTACAGCTACACACATAGCATTCTTACTAAGTCGTTTTTCAAATCAACGTACCTTTAGTCAGAGAATAGACAGTGTTAAGTAAAATCAGATGACAGTTGGAAAGTGACGACGACAAATCAGTAGAAAAAGTAATCTATAATAACTATTGCAATGCTTTTCTAACCGACAGTCACACTACAGAGTGAAAAACAGTGAAATTTCTGAAGTCCACTGTAGTAAATTTCCAGGCTTTACAATTACCTAATCAAATTATTTATCACAGGTGTCTGCCACCATTGTTGTTAATACAGAATTAACTTCAAAATGTATGAGTTAGTGGGCAATTAATTCTGCGATTATAGTAATAATAGCAACAACAAATGCCTGCAAGTGTTTATGCAGTCTTAGCAGTTAATCCTTGTAATTGTGTGAGTGAAATGTGTGTGTGTTTGCAGAGCTAGACAGAAAAAATAACTATCGACTCCCAGCGATTAGATGATTGGGTGTTTGGTTTGATTGTAATATTTAGTTAAAAAAAGAAAGACAAGAGCTAGGAAATGATCTGTCACAATAGTGTGTGTAAAATTTCACCATCTTTTGTATGATTTCAAAGCGGATTAAGGTTAAGCCATTGAGTTTGGCCACTTCTGTATGTATTTGTAAATTTGACTGCTATTGTACAGACAGTTACATAGATAGAACTACTCGACATCTTCACCTTCCTGAGCATTAACCACTTTGGTTAAGAAGAGGAGCCATATGGTCTATTAAAAGTTCTGTATTGCAGCATCTAATGGATACGGAGCATAAGAGTGATGAAATACAGCAGTCAACTCCATTGTCTAGGTTCGTATGCCTCCGACTGTGTGGTACGACTGAGATAACTGCTATCAAAGCTAATTTGTGTACGTTCAGAAAAAGTGTGTCTAGCCCCTCTCTTGCCCCCACACTCCCACGGCCTTCACTTTCAACCCAGATACAACGAGAAAGTTATTCTATCCCGGTAACGACGGATAACTGAAAATATTGTATCGTTAGTTTCGTTGTCTTTATTAGCATTATTATAATCTGTTATATTTGCATATTTAAATGTTAACTTCATAATTTATCATAAAACGGAATGGTCTGTCGTCTATTCCATCTACTTCTATAACACATACATATTCCACTTATACAGCCATAGGGATGGATAATGTATGCACTTGCATGCATTTATTGTTGCTATTATTACTCTAATCACTGTGATAATCACTTTCTAATTCATACACTTCAACCACAGTGGTACCAGATGTCTGTGATTAACAATTTAACTAGGTACCTGATGAGAAATTACCAAAAATACATATCTACTTGAGCTGTTTTCTCTGTCACAATGGGAATATTTAAATTACTGGATTTTCGTTTATCGTATCAGCACCGAATTAACTATTTAAATATGTCTGGCAGTGCATAGCAGCTCAATCAGGCATAGACTTTAAGTAAGAGATTTCACAAAGTCATATCTTTGTTATCCAATCATCGTTGCACTTATTTATTTTGACTGAAATTTCACCGCTGATAGGAATTCTTTGTGGTCTGTATTAACATTTCTAGGGTATGGTAAACATTACATTCTTCATCAATTATTTCTGTGTAGGCACACAAGAAGTGATATTTTATGCCATTATTAGAAACTTATAATCACGTGTATGAATACTTTTAGTCAAATTTCAATACAGCGAAAATTCATACATAGGCATTTAGAAGAATAAAAAAATCGAGCAAAGAATATTCTTTTTGGTAACTTCCTCATCCGGGTCTACAGTTACATCTTAGCAGCCTGATGTTATTAGAAAACATATATATATATATATATATGATCGAAAAGAATATTCTTTACCCAGTCTTTATTGTCTTTCAGTCAAGTGTTTTCAAATTACGGCCAAAGTTATTTAAGATTTTTGAGTTTAAGAAAGATTTGCCTCAGAAAACTAGGACTAGAAATCTAGATAAACTCAGTGTGAATCTTGTTCTGACTAATAAACAGAATGACCTTCCTAAACTTCAAAGGAAATTCTTAATTCTTTATCGCTTCTGTGTTAATCCTGCTCGTTTTTAATTTTTGTTGGATTTCTACTTGTGTTATCAAAAATGCCTAGTGGTGGATCACCCTTGAGATATATTCCTAGAGTTTTATTGACCAAAAACTAAAAGCCCTATTGTTTGTTCAAGAAGAAACTAAAATGTAAGGTCCGGTAACTCCATACATTCGGTCATACATGCTAACCTTTCCTAGTGGCATCAAATTATTCAATCTGACGTCTGGTAGTGTGTTTAGGCGAGCTAAAGGTATCACTTCGGTAAGTTATGTCATTTTGAAAACCAGTTCTCTAGAAGTGTACTCGGAATGTTGTTCCAGTAACCTCCTTACCATTCACTGCTTCCTTGTTCTACAACCAACCAGAAGAAGAGCAGCTCAATTCACCTCATGATTCGGCCTCGCAGGCTGAAGAACAATCGTGTATATCTTGCATTAATTGGTGCACGACAGCCTTTCTATTAGTCTATCGGAGACTTTAGGTGTCACTGTGGTGTAGAATTATAATCAGTGGTAATACTGAGATTTTCCACTCCTTCTAAGCTATGGTGCGAAACGACGCTCCCATGAATTATATTAGAGAAAAGCCTAAATTTTGTGTCATTTTTAAAGCGTATGTTTCTCCTAATCTCTTTACATTGTCGCTTAATTATTTCGGGTGTTGCCTTTCTTGACATCCATGCAATTTTGTCTAGATACTTAACATTCGATACGTTTCGCCCAATAATTCATGAAAAACTGCAAATGATAATGATTTCATTCTTCAACCATTGAGTTTTAGGATTATTTTACAGTTAGTCAAATAGCCTAATGATTTTAAGGTTATAATGCGTATTACACTATACTCTTTGTTCGACTCTCAGGATACACAACCGTTTATAATGAAAAAAACATGGTTCCCTTGGTTCAGTGGCAATATCCACTTTACCCACTTACCTAACCAAATAGTTGTTCATTCCTACTTGGAAAGCTTTGCTCCAGATGAAGTCTTTAGCTTCTTAAGTAGATTAAGATGGACAGTTATGTTAATTAGTGCCTTCAACCGCTATATATATATATATATATATATATATATATATATAACACCAAATGAAGTTTGGATGTGAAGTCGAAAATATTTTTCATCTGCTTACACACTAACGAACTCAGTGAAAATTATTTGGAACAGTTTATTTTATGAATTCAAAACATATGGAATGAGAGCTTTGTTAAGAAGTTTAATCTCACGCTGACATTTTGCTGCGCTAACTAGCGTCTATTCACATTTGTGACTAATATTACAGTGTCTCTGTCTCACGGTAAAGATACTGTGTTCGATTATCTTGGCCTAAATTCAAACTCCTATCGAGCATAACCAAGTTACTTAAAAGAGATAAAAGTCTAAAACAGACAAGTAAGTGAATACTTCGCAGTATTGTTTGGAAACTGTGACTAACTGTGCCAGCACTTACACTTGTTGATATGTCATATTCTGATTAATATTCTGGTTTATAAGCCCTCTCAAAACCTAGCAGTCTTGCAACTGAAGTTTGGTGTGATTTTTTCGAATCAGAATTCGAAGCTGTGCATTTTAGCTAGTTAAATTAACTACCTTCGGGAAAATAATTCTTTCAGTTCTGTTAATCTAGAGAAATATCCAAAAAGCGAAGTTATTAACAATTAATAATGAATATTTTATGTAATGTCACACACTAGTTTAATTAATGGACAGATGTGTTTCTTCTTACTCAAATATCTGTGTATTCATCATCACTTTCGTTTTCCAACACAATGTTTTTCCATTTTCTAAGATTTTCTGCTGTTTCACAATGTTGTAATAGGCTTTCAGCTTCTACAACCCCATTCTTCGATGCATGCATCAGTAAATCCTTCACTTCATTAACTGTCAAGTAATTGTCTTTTATATGATCTTTAATATGTGCAATGACATAATTATACGAGGCTATTGGATTTTTATTTTCTAAAGCAGATATTTTCAGCCAATACATAGCTTCTTGATACTCTTCCTTAGAATTGGCTCCATATAATAGATGTTGGCTTAGACGATTTTGAGCCTCCTATGAAACAGGAAGATAAAAAAGAAAACAAACTCAAGGTGAGATAGGATGTAAGTAGACAAAAAACGGTTTACATGACATTACTGGGTCAACAAAATGACTATGTGAACAAACTATGAATATCGATGAGATGCTCACTAGCGACTTGCCCTATTCAGGTAGGTAGTTACCTGGGGTTCTAGTGAGAAGTCGTGACCAGTAGGGTGCAGCAAGTCGGGTGTGAGGACAAATACTTGCCGAAGACATTGGCTAGTGGTCGCGCTATGTCGTGAATTGGTAGAAGTTAAAATATGAATAGTCACCAGCTTTCCCTACTTCAGGTATATTTTAAAAGCTAAATACAGTCCCTAGCGTTTATAAAACTGAATAAAGCAAGAACTACACGTGTTGTTGTATTGTTCAGTGGATTTTATTTAACTGTTTACAACACAAACAATATCGAAATGTATGATTTATAGTGTAAACTAGACAATATATCTTGCAATTTGACAGGGTGTTGATAGAAACAACACATGATATAAATATTTGAGGTAAACATAGTTATTGGGGTTGTTGCGAATTAGCTGATTGTTCTTTAAACTGAAAGTTAAGACAGTAGAAATAACAAATAACTAGACCATAAAACAAATCAAAAATTTGCCCTTCATTGCTACTCCTGTTGTTATTCGCTTTTTGATTAGATGTTCATTTAATTATAAAAGCATGAACTTGTAGAAGAATGACAGAGAATCAATCAACTGCATAGTTTTTTGATAAAAATTGATGGAACATGCCACCAAATAAGTGTTTCATTTGACCTTTACAGTAATGTTTTACATCAGAGTTCAATCACAGAAACGATACTCACTCAGGTGTTTTCTATATTGTTCTCTTTATTTGGCAAAGCATACAGTGGAATATAATGTGAGAATGCGAATTTCCACTCATACATTAATGAGACTGACAGTCCTCCATTTCAGAATTTATTCAATAAATTCAGACAAGCTGAAGCAAGTTCCATGGACTCTTGCATACTCAGAAAAATATCCTGTAAATAATATTAGATCATTGTGTACTTTGCCGAATAAACAAGCTCATACGGAATTATGCACTACCATAATGTTGTTTTTACTCTTATATCGAAGGTTTCCTAACAAACAGTTTGATTCTATTATAATATTCAAAAATAACCAGCCACCAGATAATAATCCCCAGGCGTGCTGCTGTGCCACATCATTCAACATTTTCAACCTCACCATCATCCATAATAAAGAAACTTCCTTCTCTGACTTATTACAATTTAAGAACAATAGAAAATTATCTCAAACTTTTAAGACTGACTGACTAACTAGTTTCAACGTCAAACTTTGCACTGATGTGCAGCAGTTCAAGTTGCCACACTCCATGGAAACATTAGTTAAATTTATATATTAATGAGCTGCATGTATGGGTACGACTTAGTGAATTCCCCTAGACTGACAAATATTTTGTGTTTCCTGAGCAATTATATTAGATTTCCAGACATTTATAGTTGCGGTCGGTGATTTCGGCAGGTCTTGATTGTTTGAACAGTGAAACAGAATCAATTTACACGGGCATTTTAGAATATTTGTCGAACATGCATGTTACTAGATTCCACGGGATTAAACCTTCGTATCTGGTGATTTGTTGAATGTTGATGTGTTTCTCCAGTATGTGGTAGTTCTAATGGTTTGTAGCTGATTCATTGTTGTATATTTCAAGCCTAAATTCTACTAATGAAGATTTCAGGGGCATGTTTAGCTTAGCCCATACCACTATTTTTTTAAATTCATGGTTTCAAATTTATTATTGGTAGAAGTTATTGTTTTTTCTAATTTACTTATGCTGAAAATAGCGAAAATTGTTATCAACATAACTAGTCTCAACTTTAAAGTGGAATGTTGGAATAACAGTTAACATTAATAGCTCCGTTATCAAGGCAGAAATCAGTCTAGATTTTGCTGAACACAGCAGTTTTTGAGTTTCACGTATACACCTTTCTTTTGAATTGAATGTAAGTGGTTATGAACTGGATAATTAATAATTAATGGGTCATAACAGTGGCTTTTGTGTATTTTCAAAGTTGTTATCACCGTGACTGAAGTTCACGTCATTAGACTCTTTGAGATACTAAGAATCAATGGTGATGGGCTGTTTGTAATATGACTAAAACAATTGACAACACTGAAGACGTATTCATTTATTCGTGTCACTCAATCAGAAAATTTGATAGACAACTTATATATAACACTAGGCTGTACGTTATACTTACGTAGACAGTTGTACAGATAGAACAGTTGCTTTTAAGTAGAAGTCCTTTGAATGATAAATTTCTCCCGTTTCTCGGAAGAAAGAGGTGTATTACACGCAGAAGAAATTTCAGCAAAATTATGTACGTAAGGTTGTTATTGCCGGATAATTTTGATATATATTTAATCATTAAAAGTACGGATGAAATATTCTGTTCATAGCAGCAACAAAAACTATTTACAAATTCTCGTACAATCTACATGTTTAGTCGTCCAAAACTGTTCTATGAAACAGACAATCTGAAAAAAAAAAATGATTACAACCCACTGTTCACATATTTGCTTTCATCCTGTCATTCTTCTTTCTCCTGATTCTTGGATTTTGTTTATGTAAGCATTTTTTGATGCACACTAACAAGATTTACTATTGATACCTTTTTCTTTCACCTATCCTTTTTCACGTCAGCTTTCATTGTCAGATGAAATATATGAATTATGGAATTTAAAGCCCTTCAAAGGCTGTTTAATATAGCAAATTTTCTTAGATTTATACTGGTATGTTAAAAGGAATAATTTCGAATCTCTTTGTTATCCAACTTTTCAAAAAAAAACATCGTTTTCACGGAGGAACCCAAATTACTGTAACTAGCTTCCTTTACAGATATGATGAATGAGTGTTAAACCTCATAAAATATAAATGAATTCCGATAATTTCTCTCTAAATAGGCACTTATCTGTTGAACGCAGAAAGAAAGTACCAAGTTAACCATCTCCTTAATATACTTAGTGCTTTCTTGAAAAAACAAATGGCAAAATATGCATGACAGAAATAGTTCTATACATAACTCCAGGATCAAGGACACAGAAGTTACAGTTAGGTAAAAACCTTCTCAGTCTCTTTGATAAGCTTCTGTTCTTACGATATAAGAAAACGAGACATAGACTTTAGCACAACGAAAGCCGTAGTGTAGTATATAACTGTGAACTTTGTCTGTGAAATGACAACAGTACGTAACGTATGGAATTCAGACAAGTCAGACCGTTACTAAACGAAAATATCATTGAGACTAAAGCAGTTTAAATGCTCACACACAACTAAACAACTACGCATTGCATTACTTTATACTGTTGTTCTACCTTATATGATGAGAAGGGCTGAATTTTTCAAAGTAAGACCTCACACAGAGATCAAGCACTTCATAGCGCCACACTCCATATAGCACACAAAGGTAGGAAAAAATAATTCAAGAGAACTATAGTTATAGGAAATATATGGGTTAAAGAGATATGAGGAGAATATAAGGAGAAAAAGAATTTCACAGTTTTGGGTGTTCACAGACATTGGATGCATGAACGTCATCGAAAACGATTTTGAGGCATGTCATGATTAGTCTACAACTATTTCGTCTTAGTGTCTCGAGGACTTTAGCTGGAAAGTCCAAATCTCCCTACGTGACTCAAACCAACAATCGAACATCTCATAAAGTAATGCCGTGTTTTGATTCGACCACCCACAACTCCTTTCCTGTCTATTTCCATGTCACCTAACATTCATATATTTATTCCTCTTTATTAATTTGAACAAGAACAACAACCTTGATATGATTATGAGCAATAAATTGAGCTCTAAACATCATCATTAAATATTATTGTGTAACACTGTGAGACTTTATCAGAATAAAAATTTCATGCGCAATGAAATTATATTCGATCACAGTGCTTAAGTTCTATTCTTATATCAATACCAACAGTGTGTGCAGAATAAGATGGTACCATCGTTTATTTTGTTGGCTTCTCGTCAGCTGCTTACAAAATACAGATATTATCAAGTTTGTGTACAGAAACAATTTCAACATACTTGCAATTTTCACATGTTGTTAATTGACAGAGTTCAAATTTCAACAAAAAATCAATGTGTGCATACAATGGCAAGGGAGTTATGTAGTAAAGACAAGAGGTAAGATGATGGGTAACTAATAAATTGAGCAATAATATGGTGAGTTCAACTGAAACCATGGAGGCAAGAGACAAGCAGAATTACACTATATCAAAGGGGAGTGAAGTTAAAGCCAAAGTAGTCAATTGAAAGACAGAATAACTATGTCCAGTAAACAAGGCGAGGAAAGACTGATATCTGCTTCCTTCTGAACATATAAGTGAGGTTTCAGGAATAGTTCACAGAAGACTGGTTATGTCGCTAGTCGGACGACATGCTCTTTGGTGCAATCAAAAGTTGACAGATAGCCTTATCATATTAATTCTGACTGTGTATACAAATTTACATGTATCTGAGGGAGCAGTCACATTGAGAGAGCAGAAAGAAGGGCATACCTCCGATTTTCTGAACATGTACCAAAAAGCCTACATCTCAATAGTGCCACTACCAGACATCTCATCAATGCGGGTCATGGGGTGGACATCACGAAATCCTTTAAAATTATCAATAAACAAAACACCTCAATCCTCCTCAAGTTTGCAGAAGCGATCGCTGTTAGACTCTTGATACCCGATTTGTGGGTTCAGAAGGAAGCAGATATCAGTCTTTCCTCGCCTTGTTTACTGGACATCGTTATTCTGTCTTTCAATTGACTACTTTGGCTTTAACTTCACTCCCCTTTGATATAGTGTAATTCTGCTTGTCTCTTGCCTCTATGATTTGAGTTGAACTCACCATATTATTGCTCAATTTATTAGTTACCCATCATCTTACCTCTTGTCTTTACTACATAACTCCATTGCCATTGTATGCAC